TATGTGCTGAGGAAGGTATTTATTTTACCCAGACCATGTTCTCTTTCTTTTAATCACAGTACTACATGGGCATTTCTTTGTTAAAAGTAAACAGGTGAAATGTAGCTCAATACTTGCATGCCTTGAATAAGGCTGGTGTGGAACATTCATTCAAAAAGGAAGAGTGAGTACTTGGGGCATATAGGCAAAATATGGTTTACTGCAGTTGACATAAGGCCAACTAATTTGATAACTATTTTCAAAATCAAACTAAATCTGTATGTAGATAAGCTTTAAACAGCAGTGAATTTTTTTCCCTGTTGCTTTCGTAACTGAGCCAGAATATAGGACACACATACTTGATTAAAATAAAACTACTGTTGAATCTCTTATTCTTCTACCCTCGTCTCTTCACTCAACTCTTCCCCCACTCCGAGCAAGTTAACCTTGTGTTTTCCCAAATACTTTAATGCTGCTAGTGTGAAAATAATGAGAATAGGTAAATCAGACTTGTTTACTTTTTAAAGCACTTCAATTTTTCCATTCCTTCTGGATATTACTCTTTATATGTATAGTTAATATTCTTCATACTTCAGTGATTTTTTTTTGTGAGTGTTTGTAATTAATGTTGTCTTCAAGTGCATTAGTGCAACCATTGAGTGCAGTAAAATTCAAAATCTACAAGAAAACAAATGCTCTGCACACCTGCCCATAACTTCAGTTGTAGCTGGGAGATAAAATCATTTTGTTTTTGACTGTAGCTCCACCTGAGGAGAATGTAACGGGATAATTTGTAACCTGGGGAAAGAAAATTAGGTCATCATGAAATACAGTAAACTTCATTTTACTCTGAAAATTTGCCTTGAATTAAATTTGAATATTTTCATCATCACTCCAGCCTGGGGACCACCTAAAATTGTCAAGTTAGACAACCACTCACTGCTGAATTCCTGGAATTAAAACCCCTGTGTAACACGCTTAATTCACAGATGAATAGACAGTCTTGGCCAATATTTTGGAAAAAGTTATTCTTTCATAGGATGTGCGTGTCAATGGCATTCAAGCATTTGTTGCCCATCCTTAAATGCCAGTGAGCTGAGTGGCTAGCTGGGCGATTTCAGAGGGCAGCTAAGAGTCAACCATATTGCTTTTCCATGTAGGTCAAACCTGTTGAGGACAGCAGATTTCCTTCTCTGAAGACTCTGTGAACCAGATTAGTTTTTACAATAAATTAATGAAGGTTTCATGACTGTCATTGCTGAGACTAGTTTTTAATTCCATATCTTGTTGATTTGAATTCAAATTCCACCGTTTGCACTACTGGGAATTGAACCTCTGCTCCCAGAGGATCAACCTGGGCCTGTGGATTACTGATCCAGTGAGGCAATGGCCTGGTGGTATTATCACTGGACCTTTAATCCAGAGACCCAGATCATGTTTTGGGGATCCGGGTTCAAATCCCGCCATGGCAGATGGTGATATTTGAATTCAATTTTTAAAAATCTGGAATTAAGGATGTAATGATGACCATGAATCCATTGTTGATTGTCGGAAAAACACATTTGGTTCACTAATGCCCTTTAGGGAAGGAAATCTGCTATTCTTACCTGGTCTGGCCTACACGTGACTCCAGAGCCACAGCGATGTGGTTGACTCTGGGCAATTTAGGGATGGGCAATAAATGCTGGCCTAGCCAGTGATGCCCTCATCCCACTAATGAATAAAAAAAATTACCACCACACTGCAGTTTCCTTTATTGCTGCAATCTCATTAAATGTTTGAGGAAGATTAAATTCTTGGACACTGTGGCAGTGTTCTTTTAGTGTAGAAATAGAATATCTTTTTGGATTTATCAGCTGATTAAGACAAATCAACCAGCTTCAAATAATTTTAACTTGCAATACATAAATGGGTTCAAAGGGTCCGCAATGATGACCTACATACATTAGATCAAGAGATTAAAAACCTGCAGCTCAGAGGCAGATTTTGAGAGAGAGAGAGAGAGAGAGAGAGAGGGAGGCAGGCAGAGAGATTAATAAGGAGAATTCAGCAGAGGTGCCTAACCAATCAACAATGCCTAATAGGCCAGAATTGGCAGAGCACACATTTCAGGGAGAGGAGCAAGAATGTGGACGGGGCTGAACACGCAAACAGCAAGTTATTATGCGGCATGGAGGGAAGCTAATTTAGTGAGCAAAAATGTAATGGGTAGGACTTGGTGGTAATGCTAATGGAGAGTTTAAAGGATTGGAAGCTCAGCTGAGGATCAAATAGAATGCCAAATTTGTGCCTCAGTCTGAAACAGGAAGAGGGAGGGTAGAACTGGAGGCTAAGATAAAGAGTTTGTAGTAAGAGCCAAAGACACTGACAAGTTACAGGATGGCACATTTTTCACACTTCAGCTGATTTCTTCTATTTCTTGAATTTTGAGCAAAGCTTTTCAGATATCCTCCTGAGAGGCTAGGTTTCCTGGTGTAAATATTTACCTGTTGAATGTTGACTTAGCACTGCTGTTAAATTGCCTTAATAATTGTGAGCCTTGCAGAATTTGACTGACAGCTTAGTAAGCCCTACCTGAATTGAAGGGTTTAATAGTGCTGCATGTATAGAAGTGGTTGGTTGCCAGATGAACACAACTAGGAAGGGGTCCCATAGTTAAAATTCAATGAAGGCCAGCAGTTAAACACCAGAAAACTTGTTTCTTAAAAGAAATGTTAGTAGCTTTGGCTGACTGCCAGTGAGAGGCAATAAGTAATGTTATGTTGCACAGAACATGCATGTTAGTATGCATTGCTAATATTGGTACAGTATTGCTAAGTAAATCTAGTCGATTTTTAAATATTTTTAGTATTGCTTAATGCATTAGATGTGAGATGTTTTAACCTTGATGTAGTGTAATTAGAATACCGGTACTTGTTAGGTATCAAATTGCTTATTCAGATGGAAGGGTTTCTGTTACATTTTCATAAAAAATGTATCATCTTTCCTACTAAAATTAATAAACACAATTGGACATTGCCTCTGTGCTTTTTTTTCCTGTCTCAGTTGTGCAAATACCTGTAGTAACTTTTACTACTTGTAATCTTTCATCTCGCAAGACTAATGTCTGGAAAATTAAGTGCATGTCTTGAAAGTATCGAGTACAATTGCCTGAATTTTCTGCGACTTGCTTCCTTTTTTTTAAAAAACAAGCTTGTCACTAATTTATCATCTCCTGAATATCTTGTACTATTCTGGCAACCCTGTGACAATGACTGTTGTTCATGTTGCATCCTTAACCATCTGGTGTTTGGGATGAGAAGCCTAACAGAACTGGTATTTTTTTTGCACCCTAACAATTGCTGATCATCCCATTTTGAAACCAAGCCTGTTTCTCTTGCCTGCCATTTCAGTTGACACTTAGACGTGGTCCCTTTGCTTCTATGAAGCAGCCATTCACCAAAGACCTTCTTCATGTTGTACCACAGGATGGTCGAAATGACTTCTATTGCTGGGTGTGCCACCGGGAGGGCCAGGTTCTGTGCTGCGAGCTCTGTCCTCGTGTCTACCATGCAAAGTGTTTAAAACTGAACGCTGAACCGGAAGGGGACTGGTTCTGTCCAGAATGTGAGGTATGGTAAAAGATAGTTAAAACTACGGTGAGGGAAATGGGCATGAACTTGTTCAAATTCATTTTTTTTTTAAATTAAGAAAGTGGGATTTTTAATACTGATTATATGTTATAAATCTGGTTAAAGGACGCATGTAGCCACTATTCCTGGGGTAAGGTACATCAATAACACAAACTGGTATGGATACAGGGAACTGAGTTGCTAAAGTGTATGATTAGCATTCTGTAAGCTTGGCAGAACATATGTACATCATTAACCCTTTGAGCAATGAAGGTGGAATTTCTGACCAAAGTATTCTAAGTGACTATTCCTAATCTGCAGCTGTTGTAATTTTTTAATTCTCTAATTGCACTTTTTATAATCAGCTTAGAAGATGGAGAATACATAATTCAAAGTGTTTCAAAGGGTTAATGCAGTATCTTGGTGTTAAATTTGCTGGCTTTGGCATTGTTTGGTATCCTTGCCATTCAGACCGTTATGCAGTTATTGAAGAAAAGGAACGTCTGTTTGGAGATTAATATTGTGCTTCCTGGAAAGCTGCAGTCAACCAGTGTGACATGTTATTCTGCTGAGATGGTTCTGCAGCTGATTTGAAGTTTGTGCTCCAAAAATTCAATGTAAGCTGATTTGTTTTTTTTTGTAAATTATTTTAAATCTGTTTGCTTCGCAGAAAATCACAGTCGCTGAATGTATTGAGACTCAGAGTAAAGCTATGACCATGCTTACTATAGATCAGTTATCTTACCTGCTGAAATATGCACTACAGAAGATGAAGCAGCCAGGAGTAAGTAAATGTAGCTACAATTGGAAATCATTTTTTTTTCCTTCTGACTTCCTCATGCGACATACCACTGATATCAGTTGAGCCTGATTCATTGGCTGAGGCTATTAAATTCTAATGGGGTGATTGTTCAGATAAAGTGAGCAGGGAAAACAATATATGGTGAAAATTAATTTAATACAACTAAATATCATTAAATATCCTGCATCATATTTAATAGTAATCAAGACCAAATGGGGCAGCATGTTTTTGTTTGCATTTCTAATAATTTTCAAATATAAAAATGGAGTGGTTTGCAAAATTCAAAAACTGCAGTAGCTACATGATGACCCTGCTTAATGAATCCTGGAAACGATAGAAAATAGAATTGCTAATCACTCAAAACACAAGAGACATTAATACTTACTGTTGTCACGTGGGACAAACTACTTGCATGAGGATTTACTACTTGAGAGGTCCTCTCTTTGTGATTTGTTTAATGGTTCCATCTCCAGCTGCCAATAGTGGCAGAGGTGATCCATTTGTTCCCAAAAAACATTGGAATATCTCTCTGCCTGCTCGTGCAAAAAAAACAAATAAAAGCTGTGAGAAATGCCTCATTTCCATAGACCAATGGTATCTTTGGGTAATTATTTCCCTTTGTGTTATTTCTGTCTGCCAGTTTTTCTTTAATTTTTGTAAATTCTTTTAAATGCCTTGATTAAGAGAATGGGTGCATGACCCACACCAGGCACTTGTCAGTGGTACTATCAATTGATCTCTTAAGGAGTCACTGCATAATCCATCTGATATTCTCAATGGCTAGTTTATTTGCATTGCTTGTCTTCCTGTTGGCTCCTAATGGGGCATACTGCGTCGATCGTTTGTTACCACTTATTCCAAGTGGCCCAGGGTACACTAAACTGTATATATTCCTGCAGCATAGCCCTCAACACTGAACGGTTCCTATCATCCTTTATGCAAAGGCCTTTAATCCTGGTTAGGACCATGGTTTATCATTGTGATAATTTATGGGATTTGTCGTGACCTGACTAATCATTAGTTTTAATAGTGAAGCTGTTGTGCTGCAGTTTTTATCTGGACGTAAAATCAAAATCTTAATTTTGAAAGTGAACTGAAACTTGTAACTTTTTAATATTTTACCTGAACATTTAGTTTGTCACCCTTCACGTCTCTGTTAGCTTCATAAATTCCTCTTCTAACTTTTTAACAGACTGAGCCCTTCCAGAAGCCAGTTTCATTAGAACAGCATCCTGATTATGCTGAATACATCTTCCATCCAATGGATATTTGCACATTAGAAAAGGTAAGCTCATTTGATGAGATCTTTGTACCTTGCTTCCCAAGTTGGGAGCAGCTCTATTCACCCTGTACTCAATTTGCCTTTGTTCACTTTGCTTCCAAATCCAGCACAGAAATACTGTTTGCAGCAATTTCATTTGTTTTCATCTGCTGCCATCTAGTGGTAGGGTTTGAAAATGACAACACTGCACTTGTGCAGTGAAAAGTATTTGCCTGTTTGCTGAATAAACTAACAAGGTCCAGGTGTCCTACAGTTGTCCTTTATTTTTAGTGTTTTTGTGCTTTCATTTTCAGGTGAAAGTTAAAGCAGTTTGATTCCATCTACCTGTTTTGGTTACATTTGGTAGTTTTGTTGAAACCTTTCTCCTTCTCACAATGTGCTGTTTTCAAAAAAATAGAAATATTAATTTAATCCAAATAAATTCAGAAGAAAACATGAAATTGTGATGTAAATTCTATGCACAAAGAAACAGGCATTTTGATAATCTGCTTTGTCAGTGTTTGTGCTTCATATGAGCCATCTCTTCCTATTCTGAGCGATCTCGCACCCTACTTGCGTTCAATATTTCCTACCCTTGATTTAGGGGGACAGAGGGAAACCGGGAGATTACAGACCAGTTAGCCTGACAACTTTGGGGAAAATGTTGGAGTCATTATCAAGGATAGGCTAACTGATCACCTCAAAATTTTATTTAATCAAGGAGAGTCCAGATGGATTCATGAAGGGTAGGTCTTGCCTGACGCACCTCCATTGAGTCTTTTAAAGAGATGACAAAGATGGTGGACAGAAGTAGGTTGGTAGATATTGTTTCTGTGGACTTCCAGAAAGCTTTTGATAAAATCCCACAGAAGAGACTGTTAGCTAATGTGGAATTGAGGGCAAATTACTGACTTGGCTAGGAAATTGTTTGATTGACAGGAAACAGTTGGAATAATGGGTAAGGACTTAAATTGGCAGACATGACTCGTGGAGTCCAGGCAGGGATCTGTGTTCTGGACCTCAATTATATGTAATAATTATTAATGACTTGGATAATGGCATATAAAGTCAAATATCCAAAATTGCTGGTGACACAAAATCGGGCAGCATTGTAGATAGTGTTGATGACAGAATGAAATCATGACAGTATATTGATAGATTAAGTGAATGAGCAAAGCTGTGGCAGATGGATTTAAATATAAACTTGAAGTCATACATTTGGGAGTGAGGTGCAGAAAATAGGCATGAAGGCTAACGGAATGCTGGCGTTCATACATAAAGGACTGGAGTTTCGGGCTGCAGACATTACACTGCAGTTAAACAAAACTTTGTTTGGACCCCACTTAGAGTACTGTGAGCAGATCTGGGCACCACACCCTTAGTAAAGATGTTTTGGCCCTGGAGGGAAGTTCAGTGCAGGTTTAAAAGTAAGACACCTAGATTTCAGGGGTTAATTTATGAAGACAGAATACACAAATTAGGCCTTTACTCTCTAGAATTTACTAGATTAAGGGTTGTTCTAATTGAGGTCTTTGGAATATTAACAGAGAAAGACAAAGTAGATAAAGAGAAACTATTTCCACTGGTTGAAGATGCTAGAGCCGAGGCATAGTCTAAGAATCAGGGCCGGGACATTCAGGAGAGATGTTGGAAAGCACTTCTACCTGTAACAAGTCGTGGAGATTTGGAACACACTTCCTCAAGCAATGTTAATTCAATTGTTAAATTTAAATCTGTAATTTTTATTAAGCAAGAGTATCAAGGGATATGGGTCTAAGGCCATAGATCAGCCATTATTGACTGGCAGAGCAGGCTGAAGGACTGAATGGCCCAGGCTTGAAGGGCTGAATGGCCTCATCTTGTTCCTATGTTCCTTTATCATTCATTCAACATCCCTTTAAAAGCCTCTCTTCCATTTGCCTCAGTCACTCCATATACCAGCTACTGGTAGACTTACTTACTCCTGGCTGCTTCATCTGTAGTGCATATTTCAGCATATTCCATATTCCAGCCTCTCTATGATAAAGATACTTCTGAATTTGAAATTTGATGTATGCACATTGTTAGAGCAATGATTTCTGATTATTTTATCATAATTTGAAGGAGAAAAATATAGAACACAAGAGGAGCAGTCACAGACAGGACCTCCTTTTGATAATACGCGGAACAGAATGCATAAGTAATGTTCATAGCAGTAAAAGAAAATTCAGTTCTATCCCTCTAGAATTCATCTCTGATTTCAAGGGAACTGTGCTATTTGTTGCCCCAATGTTTGTTGTTTCACAAAGATGTCCCCATTTTGTTAAGGAACAGTTTTTGGAATTTCTTCAGCTGTTTCACACTTGTGTCATTATCTTGATGAGTTGTTAAATATCTGTTCTAAATACTTATTAAGTTCTTATGGGAAATAGATCCCTGTTTTTCATTCTTTCGTATTGGTTGGATTTTCTTGGAACAGATCTCCTATGAGTAACGAGGACCTCTGTACTTGGTATTTTTGATAGATTTGTCCATAATTCTGTTGCCACTTTTTTATTAATTTGTAAATCTGTACTCAATGATCCCTTTACTCCTCCATCCCACATGTAACAAAATAAAAAGAAATATGGATTGTTTTGCTAATTCTTAGACTGTGTAACCAAATGTTTCCTGATTATCTATATCTTGGTGATCTTATCAAGTAAACACTGAAAAATTCCAGGGTGACCGAAATAGTTATCCCTCTAAAAATGAATAAAGGCTACACTTTGTTTTATTGTAGTTTTCAAATATTGCTCTCTTTGACCTTTACCAATCATTGTAGCCATATATTAATTATATTTAATTGCAGATATGTTTAATCAACCGGTTTATATTGTGCTTGATCGTATGCAGGTGTTGACCTAAAACTGGTAGTTTTACATAACTTCTAGAGCTCTTGTGGCACGGTGGTTATGTCTCTTTCTCTGAGTCAGGAGACCTGGGTTCACATCTCACCTGCTCCAGAGGTGTATAATAATATTGTGTATACTTCTGTACTAGAAGACTCTGGGTCAAGTACCACTTGCTTCAGAGGGGTGCTGCAACATGTCTGAACAGGTTGATTGAGAAGACTAGTTTCGATGCCTTGCTTCAATGGTATGTAACTTTGGTGAAACAGTCCCTGGAATTATTGTGTGCAAGTTTCAAGGGCTCTTCTGGCAGAGTAGTAGTGCCGCTACCTCAGAGCCAGGAGGCCTAGGTTCAGGTCCCACTTGCTCCAGAGGTATGTAATAACGTCTCTGGATGGATTGATTGGAGAAATATCTATAAGTAGGTGCAAACTGAAACTGTGGTGTTTTGGACTAGAAAGCGTAGAGAAATTTTACCAACTTGTTCAGATACGTTATGACTTTCTGACACAGATGTAGAGGCACTATCAATGTACCACAAGATCACTGCTGAGAATTGTATGCTTGCAATTTATAATGGTAAAATAAGAAAAATGAGTTTAAAAGTATGTGTAAGGATTAGTTTCAGTTCTATCCTTCAACAACTAGTTTTTTGGAATAGAGCATGGCATGTTTGAATATTTGCTTCAATCTCCATGGAACTGCCTGTTGAGAAGCAAATCACTGCATGCAACAAGATATCAAGTTAAATAGAGCCATGATTTGTGTGAATGAACCTCATTTTTTACCTATTATGTACTGTGCTAAATTCATCCATGACTGTTGCTAACGAGGCCAGCTTTATAAAAGCATTTAACCTACTTCAATACAGTCAGTTTGGCTATAACGCTATTGTTGCATTCCTGCGCAACATCGCGTGATAGAAAATCGCACTACAGAAATAAGAGGGCCTATGGGGAAAAGCAGGATTGGGGCAGATCACCAAAAAATATAACACAGAATCACTCAAAAGCCTAACACAATGGATAACACAGTTTGAATAAATGTTTGATTCAAATCTAATAATGAAAGAAAAGTAAATTTAACATCTTAACTTGAAAAACTGTCAAGATGACTTAATGGGGGAGTAGGTTTTGAGGTTGCTCTGTTGTTAATGCAGGGGCTGAGGGTTGTCATCATCATTATTGTCATCACCTTCAGATGCAGTTGTGGGTGCAGGGTTTGGGTGAAAAATCCAGAAGTGGATGGCTGTGGTTCATTGTCTTCTGACTGTTTCATGGGGGTTAGCTTAAAAAGACATCCAGTTTTTGCTGCTTTGCCCTTTTTATTCTTTCACGAAGAAGCTGTTCATAAGGTGCCAAATAAGATTTTATTCCACGAACTGCTCCCCTGCTGCTTTCTGCATTGTAATCGTTGTGCTGTAAGAGCTGCAACTGCTTCTCAATTTCCCTCAGGATAGAAGACAAAACAGGAGTAGAAAGCTCTCATGGTGCTGCATCCTGGATTTCAATTTCCTTATCTCCAGCATGCACTTACCCCTCAGTGACAAGTTGTTGTAGATCAGCTGTAGAGAGGTCTTCACAGTGGGACTCAAGCAGCTCTTCAACATCCTCACTGTCTACTTCTTCAAATCCAACTTCCTTTGCAAGATCAACACAATGTTCTTTGATTCTTGGGAGCTCTTCTGATGGATCAAAGCCTTTAAAACCCTTGAAAAGAATCTGGGAGAAGCTTCCATCAAACTGCGTGCAAGCAGTCCTCACTGACATCATCTCAGGCCTCGACGATAATGTCAATTCTGTTCTTGGGGTTAAAGCTCTTCCAAAATTGAAGAATACTCTCCTTATCCCCCTCAGTGGCTGGAATCAGCCTCTTAAATAATAAGCTTCAAAAGCTGCTGTTGCAACCTGGTCCATGGGTTAAAGGAGAGAGGTTGTGTTTGGGGGTAGAAATAGCACTTTGATGTTCACAGAAAGCTCATCAATGGTGGGAGGATGGCTTGGCGCATTATCTAGAATTAGGAGCATCTTGAAATCCAAATTCTTTTTTTCTGCAATATTTTCTGAAAACACCTTCCAAAACATCAATAAGGTCAGAAAAAATTTTCCCCGTCATCTAACCTCTCTTGTTTGACAAAGCCTGTGAAACGATCATGTGATGCCAGCACAGAAACGCTTTGGACGCTAACATTGCACTTATTTAGGACAAAGCATGCAAAACGATCTTGTGATGTCGACGCATACCCCTCCACTCACCAATGCAATTGTGTTATAGCCAGTACAAGTTCACGTTTTAGAAATAGTGTTCCCCTTTCTGTCAGTTATGTCATAGCCAATTTGCTTTGCTGGAACATGCATTATAGCAGAACCGTCTGTATATTGTGGTTCCATTCTCTTATTTGCAATTTCTGAGTGTTTTTGTTTCTTTTCAGAATGTCAAGAAGAAGATGTATGGGTGCACTGAAGCTTTCCTTGCTGATGTCAAATGGATATTGCATAATTGCATCATATATAATGGTGGTAAATATCATAATGGTCTACTAGAAAATATACTCCTTTGTAATATTTGACCAGTTACTTTAATAGCCAATTCTTCATTGGCACCTCAGTAAAGGAACACTTTCTTAGAAGTCCTTGAATTAACTTATCTGACTGGTAGTAAGTTCAGATAAAAATAAATTTGTATTACTTTTAGAATTAACCGTAGCAAATCATAATTTTTCAATAGTTGGAAAAACTGCACCAATGTTGTCTGAGTTTAGCATGCTCGAGTAAACAAATTTCTGTTAGTGTGTGGTTACATGTCCGCAAAGATTTGATTCTTTGCCCTTTACATGAACTGAAATAATCATAATCACAAATCAGCTACAGAAATAACTACTTGAAAGAAACCTGCAGTTGACTGAACATATTTGTAATTGTGAGGTAAATGCTACATTTGGAACCTTACTGTCCCTGTTGTTCTTGTGCTCGCTAATAAAGCTCTGGTAGTTTGATAATGTACAAATTGTGTAGTTTCCTCCAATATGGTGGAGGTTTACACCCAAATGTTATTGTTATTTGAATTGCCATTGATTTACTTCCCCTTTTTCAACTTATAAATGTAATCCTTACAAAGTGGTGTCTCTGAAGTTTGATTAAACAACTTCCTTTTGTGAAACTGTACAGTACGCAGCATATCCACTCCAATCCGGTGGTGGTATGGTAGCTGTCCCTGGCTGTAGGAGTGAATTCTGCTCCTGTGGACTTAGACATCATTATACTCCAAAAGTTAGTGTATTGGCTGTAACCGAATTTTTATTTTGCTTCTGGTTTTGTGTTGAGGGCCCTGAGAAACCTTTTGCAAATGAGTGAAAGAAAATGAACCGTGAAGTTCAGGCTATTTCACATTGGAAAGCATTGCATTTTAGCTCAACTTTTGTCCATGCTCCTGTGCACACATTGGTGTTGATTAGCAGGGAATACTGAAGAATGACCAGGAGTGGAATGTTTTATTTCCTGTCTCCTCCCCTTTCCGTTCCATTGCTAGGTGAGATTGAAACTAGTTCTACAAAACCCTGCTGCAACTATTCTGGTTGCGATCTGCTGCTTTGGTGTGGACTGGAAAAGCTTCATCACGGAGCATGTCATATGTGCTACATATCTGGAGCATTTGAGCATTGAGATAGTGGGAACTTGCAGTACAAGAGTGTACAAATGGAACATGTGAAAATCCAGCAAGTGTACACTTTGCTGTTACGAATGTAGATTTCTCCTTTGACTGAAGGGGAAGTACGTTAATTTAAAGTGAGTTATTTTATGTCAGATGACCGCACAATCCACCTTTTCTCTGATTATTGTTCATCCTTCAGTTCCATGCTGAGTTGGCTTCTTGCCAAGTTATTCCTGTTTGACCTTTGGCACTGTCAGCCAGCTTTCTCCAAAGGTCACACGTGTAAATCTTCATTGGTTTACTTCCATCCATATTTCAAGTGGATGAGTGCTCCAGACGTAACAAAGGAAATGGACTTGACGATATCTGGCTGCAGTGCTTCAGTCCTGTGCTCCAGACCTTGCTGCGCTTTTAGTTAGTCCCAGTCCAGCTCTAATACTGGCATCTACCTAAAGTTGAAGAATTGTCCTGCATATTACATAAAAGCAGTACAAATCCATCTGGGTCAATTACCACCTAGCAACCTACTCCCAATTAACAAACTAACAAAAAGGATCATCAACAGTCTATGAACTGCAAGTATCAGCACTTGATACTTGGGGCGGCATGGTGGCTCAGTGGTTAGCACTGCTGCCTCACAGTGCCAGGCACCTGGGTTCGATTCCACCCTTGGGCGACTGTCTGTCTGTGTGGAATTTGCACATTCTCTCTGTGTCTGCGTGGGTTTCCTTCGGTTTCCTCTCACAGTCCAAAGATGTGCAAGCTAGGTGGATTGGCCATGCTAAATTGCCCCTAGTGTTCAGGGATGTGTAGATTAGCTGAGTTATAGGGGGAATAGGTCTGGGTGGGATGCTCTGGGGGTCGGTGTGCACTAGTTGGCCGAAGGGCCTGTTTCCACACTGTAGGAATTCTATGACCTATGGATCTGTGAACAGTGCTACCAATTAGCAATTAATCACCAGTAATATGCTGTGTGCTCTGGCTTTGCTGCAACTCTCAATTCAAGTTTGGTCCAAACGTGGATACTGCTGATTTCTAGAGTTCAGGTGAGAGTTACTGATCTTGACAATCAAGGAAGCTTTTGCCTGAACATGGTACCAAGGAATAAAACTGAAGTCACTGGGGTAGAAAATAACTGGAACAAAGAGAGATGGCCAAGGCCATTGAGGCCTTTCATTTCAGTTTAGGTCACTGGTGCAGGAGTTTGTCAGGGCAGTATTCCAGGCCTGCTAGCTTGAACTTGGTGAGTGATCACTTTGAAAACATATGGTCATAAATATGGTGGTGTGCTGATGAGAGCAGCATTGAAGTTCCACTTGAAGTTGCTCAGGTAATGAATCAGTCCATGCCCTCATGCTGCAAGACTTGAATTCAAAGTCTAAGATAACAAACTACTGCAGATGCTGGAAATCAGAAATAAAAACAAGCTACTGGAGAATTTCGGCAGGACTGGCAGCATCTGTGCAGAGAGAAACAGCAGCAATGTTTTGAGATCAATGACTCTTATTCAGACTTGAAATGTTAGCTCATTATCTCTTGCCATAAATGCTGCCCAACCTGCAGAGTTTTTCCAGTACTTTCCATGGTTATTTTAATCCAAGCAGAGGGCTTTAGCTGATAGTTGAAAAGCACCATCCGCACCACAGACAATGACTGTCATCAGAAATAGAGTCCTGAACACGAGTGTTGTTGCATCAGCAGGTCTCCTGTTGTAAACATCCTGGGGTGCTCCATTCATCAGAAACTTTACTGGACCAGTCACCTAAGTGCTGATACTTGCAGTTCAGAGACTGGGTATTCTGCAGCAAGTGGCTGACCTCCCAACTTCACAAAGATTGTACAACCAACAAGGAGCGATAAATACCAGTTCTTCCTCTTTGTTGCATCACACCAATGTAACTTATTCTCCATTTGTCTGGATGGGTTCTTCTCCAACAACTCTTCAAGTTAGAGACTATCAAATGCAAAGCAACCTGTTTGATCAGATTCCCATCCACTGGCTTACATCCCCTCCATCACTGGAGAAGTGTGTCACTTGCAGGATCTACTGCAGCCACTCACTAAGGCTTCTTTGGTACCTTCAGAACTAATGACTTCTACCACCTGAAAGGGTAACAGCAACAAAAGCAAGGGAATGCACCAAGTTTTTCCCACTCTCCAAACACCATTCTGACTTGGAAGTACATTGCTATTTATCCATCATTATGGATGGAATTTTGAAAAGCCTATTTTATGGCTCTCTTCCCACTGTCCATCTGATGTCTGTCTGAAATAGAATTTTGAGCAGTATATTGCTGCCTACAAGAAGGAAAATGCAGAAGGAAAATTAGGGAAAAGGAAAAGTTCTTGACGTTCTTTGAAAAAGAACTTTTGGATCTTTTATGTTCATCTGAACAGAGAAAACAGGCCATCATTCCCTATGAAAAGTGACATTTTTGACAATATACCCCCTCAATCCTGCACTGAAGAGTCCATGTAAATTACGCTCTGTGTCAGTCCTAGGTGTACAACCTTCTAGTTGGTAGGTGAGAGTGCTGTCACTTTGCCAAGACCTATAGAATTGTGCAATACAACATTCGTAGGATGTGCTCTGTTAATGAATTAAATGTTAATGTTGTAGTGTTCTGTTTTTAAAATCAATAATAGATTTTTGTATTGCAGCCAATCACAAACTAACAGCAACAGCAAAAGTGATCATTAAAATCTGCGAGCATGAAGTAAGTATAACAAGATAAGTGCATTGTGTCTCAACGCTGTACTTGTGATTTATAAAGCATTATTGGGGGAATGCAGAAGGATCTTTTACCTGTATTGTACTATATTTTATATGAAATAAGAACACAAGGTTAGCCATATCATTCATATCTTTCAACATCTGAAAGAGAAAGATTAGGTTATGCTGACCTTGTTCGCTAGATTCTTCATATGAATCTAGTTTTCTTTCTTTCTTTCTTTCTGTTTTAAACACTGCTGTTCATTTCTGTCTTTCTGATTTTTAGCATTCTTGTTTGTTGTACCTTGAGACTCAGTAATTTCAGGTGACTGTATTCTTCTTTTCTTTTAATAGATGAATGAGATTGAAGTTTGTCCAGAATGCTACTTGGCAGCATGCCAGAAGAGAGACAACTGGTTCTGTGAACCTTGTGTAAGTTGGCGTTTTCTGGAGAAACTGAATGACAAACCTCAGTGTTTATGGCAGCAAAGTACTGCTTGTCCATTCATCAGACAACTTAGACTTCAGTTGAACTCACTGTTTCTTATTTTCTGTTAGTCAGAGTCTTGACTATTATTAGTGAACTTTAGGACTCTGCCGCACTGAGCTTTATTTTAGTTGTGAGGTATGTGTTTTGCATTGCAGCCAAATACATTTCAGCTTTAGGAATTAAAGAGAAATGCCAACTGAAATTCACAATGTGGTCAACAATTTCCCAGCAACTGAAAATGCCCTCTAATTGATTTCAGGAGCTGCATTTAAAACCAATCAGATCTCTAATTGGTGTGCAGATTTTCTTAAGAATAGTTAGCCTTCCATGATTTGAGACAGAAGAACACTAACACCTTGTGGCTTCAAAAGAATGAATGAGTTTGCACGTACTTCAATTTCGATAGCAGAACAATATATTGGCTCAGATGTTCCAATAGCTTGAGTTGCTGGATGACTGGAGTTGTGGGTCGAAATGAAGTTACCTCCTAGGGGCATCCCCAGGAAATTGAAGATTACGATGGGAAATTCCCCTGTGTTTTGAACTCTCTTTTTATTAAAAAAAAGGCCTCAAAGCTTAAGAATTCTGAGTACTTCAACTCATTAAGCTTAATACTTGTCCAAAAAGTTTGGGGTTTTAAAAACCTCCTCCCCTAACTCCTGGATGACTATTAAACTGATAGCCGGATTCTCAAAGCTGCCATTCACTTCTCGGAAGGACCTGGCCTCCAGACACTGATGCACCCATCTCCTCCAGCCTTGCCTCCGAACCCCCTCCAATACCCCACATCCCAACTATCCTAAGCAGTCATCTGACAGCCCACTCGCCTCACATACCTGACACACTGCCCCCTTTCCTATCCAGTTGTTACCTTACCTTACCACTCACTCGCCTTCCCTCAGTCACTGTCAAAGTGGCTTTGGGATCTTTAATTCCTGATACACAGTGCTGTACCAATCCTGGCCTGCAATGCTGCTCCTACATGGAGCGGATTTCTCCCTGGCTTCCTTCGATGGATGCATTCAGGAGAAGCTAGACTCGGCCAGAAAAATCCTAACCGATAAATGTGTAATTTGTGAAGAGGATTAACGTCAGTCAAATCTGTTCCCAAGTTGATCAGACCTTGTGGATCGTTTATAGTCAGAGTTATGCAGCATGGAAACGGATCCTTCGGTCCAACTCGTATGCGCTAACCAGAAATCCTAAACTAATCTAGTTTCATTTGACCCATATCCTTCTAAGCCCTTCTTATTCCTGTACCCATCCAGAATCCTTTTAAATGTTGTAATTGTACCCGGCTTCACCTCCACCTCTGGCAGCTTGTTCCATACAGGCATCACCCTCAGCTTGAAAAGGTTGCCTCTCAGGTCTCTTTTAAAATTTTTCCCTTTTCACCTTAAACCTGTGCCCTCTAGTTAGATCTGGATTTTGCAGCTGTAGTAGTGAAACTATCAACATTTGAATGATTTAAACTGGAAAACTGACAACAACTCTGGCCCCATCACATGGGCTATTAAATGTAGAAAATAGGGTGTTTCTGTTGGTGTTTCCCTGCTCCTCCATAACATGTGATCTTGATAGTCCCTGCAAATGGAAATCTTCAGGAATCATTTGAGTTGATGTGAGCTGCCAACTTCTTCCATTTTACTGTAACCTCCCGATTTAAAATTATGCCTTATTGATATGGTTACCTGGGTTTTTAACAATATGCTGTGTCAAAATAATTGCTGAACAATCTCCCTACTCCTGAAAAACACTTCTTAATATTTGTGGAATGTCAAATTCGATAAGTTCAAAAAGGTTACATTAAAAACTTTCTTTCCTATATCATCTTTTGTCCTTAATCCTGTGTATTTGAAACAGAAATAAGGAAGGGATGAAAACCTTAATGGGATTGTATTATAGACCACCCCTACCCCCCAATAGTCAGCGAGAAATTGAGAAACAAATTTGTAAGGAGATCTCCGTTATCTGTGAGAATAATAGGTCAGTTATGGTAGGGATTTTAACTTTCCAAACATAGACTGGGACTGGCATAGTGTTAAGGGCTTGGATGCAGTGGAATTTGTTAAGTGTGTACAGGAAAATTTTCTGATTTTGGCGTGTGGATGTACCTACCAGAGAAGGTGCAAAACCTGACCTACTCTTGAGAAGTAAGGCAGGGCAGGTGACTGAGGTGTCAGTGGGGGAGCACTTTGGGGCCAGTGACCAGAATTCTATTAGTTTTAAGACAGTTATGGAGAAGGATAGACATGACCTAAAAGTTGAAGTTCTAAATTGGAGCAAGGCCAATTTTGATGGTGTTAGGCAAGAACTTTCAAAAGTTGTTTGACGGTAGATGCTTGCAGATAAAGGGATGGCTGGAAAATAGGAAGCCTTCAAAAGTGAGATAACGAGAGTCCAGAGACAGTATGTTCCTGTTAGGGTGAAGGGCAAGGCTGGTAGTTGTAGGGAATGGTGGATGACTGGAGAAATTGAGGTTTTGGTGAAGAATAAGAAGGAAACATATGTCAGGTAGAGACAGCAGGGATCGAGTGATTCCCTAGAAGAGTATAGAGGCAGTAGGAGTATATAAGAGGTAAGTCAGGAAGGCAAAAAAGGGACATAAGATAGCTTTGGCAAGCCGGGTTGAGGAGAATCCAAAGGGATTCTACAAATACATTAACAACAAAAGGGTAACTAAGGAGACAATAGGGCCCCTTAAAGATCAGCAAGGCCACCTATGTGTGGAACTGCAGGAAATAGGCGAGATACTAAACGAGTACTTTGCATCAGTGTTTACTGTAGAGATGGATAGAGTAGATATAGAACATGGGGAAATAAATAGTGCTATCCTGAAAAATGTCCATATTACAGAGGAGGAGGTGCTGGACATCTTAAAATGCATAAAGGTTGATAAATCTCCAAGATCTGATCAGGTGTCTCCCAGAACTCTGTGGGAAGCTAGGGAAGTGATTGTTGGGCCCCTTGCTGAGATATTTATATCATCAAGAGCCACAGGTAAGGTGCCGGAAGCTGGAGGCTGGCTAATGACGTGCCACTACTTAAGAAAGGTGGTGAAGAAAAACCAGGGAACTCTCGACTGGTGAGCCTGACATCAGTGGAGGGAATCCCAAGGGACAGGATTCACATGTATTTGGAAAGGCAAGGACTGATTAGGGATAGTCAGCATGGCTTTGTGTGTGAGAAATTGTGTTTCATTAACTTGATTTGAGTTTTTTGAAGAAGTAGCAAAGAGGATCGATGAGGGCACAGCGGTGGACGTGATCTATGTGGACTTCAGTAAGGTGTTTGACGAGGTTCCTCATGGTAGACTGGTTAGCCAGGTTAGCTCAACCAAATAGAGGGAGAACCAGCTATTTGGACACAGAACTGGCTCAGAGGTAGAAGACGGTGGGTGATGGCGGAGGATTGTTTTTCAGACTGGAGGCCTGTGATCAGTGGTGTGCCACAAGGATCGGTGCTGGGTCCACTGCTTTTTGTCATTCATATAAAATGATTTGGATATGAATATTGGAGGTGTGGTTAGTAAGTTTGCAGATGACACCAAAATTGGAGGTGTAGTGGACAGTGAAGAAGGGTACTTCAGAGTACAACGGGATCTTGGTCAGATGGGCCAGTGAGCTGAGGAGTGGCAAATGGAATTTAATTTGGATAAATGTGAGATGCTGCATTTTGGAAAGGCAAATCAGGGCAGAACGTATACACTTAACGGTACAGTCTGGGGAGTGTTGCTGGATAAAGAGACCTTGCAGTGCAGGTTCATAGTTCCTTGAAAGAGGACTCGCAGGTAGATCATATAGTGAAGATGGCAAGTGGTATGTTTGTCTTTATTGGTCAGTACATTGAGTATAGGAGTTGGGAGGTCACGTTGCGGCTGTACAGGACATTGGTTAGGCCACTATTGGAATACTGCGTGCTATTTTGGTCTCCCTGCTATAGGAAGGATGTTGTGAAACTCGAAAGGGTTCAGAAAAGATTTACCAGGATGTTGCCGGGGTTGGAGGATTTGAGCTGCAGGAAGAGGCTGAGAAGACTGGGGATGTTTTCCCTGGAGTGTCAGGGGACTGAGTGGTGACCTTTTTATAGAGGTTTATAAAATCATGAGGGGCAAGGACAGGGTGAATAGCCAAAGTCCTTTCCCCAGGGTAGGGGAGTCCAAAACTAGAGGATGTAGGTTTAAGGTGAGAGGAGAAAGATTTAAAAGGGACCTAAGGGGCAACTTTTCCACACACAGGGTGGTGCGTGTATAGAATGAGCTGCAAGAGGAAGTGGTGGAGGCTGGTACAATAACAACATTTAAAAGGCATCTGGATGAATATATGAATAGGAAAGGTTTAGAGAGACGTGGGCCAAATGCTGGCAAATGAGATTAGATTTCTTTAGGATTTCTGGTTGACGTGGACGAGTTGGACCGATGGTTTTGTTTCTTGCTGTATATCTCTATGACTTTGTTCCATCTTTATGCTGCTGTCTTTCAAAATATTAAAATATGAGGGCTCATGAATGTTTGTTTGTTTTTACTGCTTTACTGTCCATGAGCATCTTTCATTGTGATTGGGTGTTTAGCCTGTTTGATTACATCACAGCTTGCTGGAAACCTGAAGAACCCTACAGCCAGTGCCAGAGTCACATTTAATGTTGGGAAAGAATAAATTAAATCATCACTTTCTTTATGGTCACCATCACTTCACCTCAGAAAACACTTTTGTGATGTGGGGTTCTAATGTCAGTTGCAAGGGCAGAGGTGGCTATTGATTTCTTACTGAGTGCCTTTGACCAAGGCGTCTTCCTCTCCCAACCTCCAGCCCATAAACTAGCTGGGTTAATGCCAGCAGTGATGGGCTGAAACTGGACGTTAATTCCCCATGTAAGGGCCTTAACTGGGAGTAGATTTGAATGGTTGTCCACCGATGTAATTAGGGAGGAGATGGGAAGGTGGTGTGGTACGTGCCTGAGACTGTCTTGCTCAATGAGTTATCCCCCTCCTTTAGCACCACCAACCACACCATGGAGAAGAGTACAAAATTTCATCTTGTATATCCATTCTTCTCCTTTTAAAGTTTACTTCCAAAACTTGAATTTTATACATTCTTTCTCACATTTCCCTTTGAAAATAAATAAACAGCATTTCCTTGCTGCTATACTATTCATTTATCATGTTCATATCTCAACCTTCAGCGTATTTTATCAGTTGTCTTTTGTCTAGTGTTGTAGGTCCACTGATGTTCAGGCAAAATGTAATAACTACATTCCTCAGAGTTTTCCCAACTCTCAATATCACCCTGTTGAAACACTGCTGCTGTGCGCCCCTCATCTTCTGAAGGAAGTTGTGGTATAATGCCACCTTGGCTCCAAAATATATAATGCCTGTTCCAAAAAAAGTACAATATTTGACTGTCATGCTGATGAACAATTATATATTTGGAAAGTTTTCAAAAGCTGACCCTGTAAAATTTCCATTTCTCTCACTCTCACAGCAGATAATTTCATTTTAAGAAAGTAGACTGAAAATTTAAGGAACCGATACTTATGTTCCCTCTCACCGTGAAGTACAGCATCTCCTAAGTCAGAAGTGAGCCAGCAAATTGTTCCCCTTTCTCGTGATGGGTGTACTGATTGAGTTGTCCATCCAAATGCTTCCAATACCTGTCAGATGGACACTGATGTAAAGACATGTGTTGCCATATTCCATTGAAATATTAGGTTTTCCAGTCCATGATGTTATGAGAATTGCAGCTCTTAAGCTGTTACAGAATCCCTATAATGCAGAAAGAGGCCATTTGGCTCATCAAGTCTGCACTGACACTCTGAAAAGCATCCCACCCAGACTCAGTGCCCCCCTCTACTCCATTCCATCCTGCTCTGTCCCTGTAACCCTGCATTTATCATAATTAACCCATCTAACCTGCACGTCCCCGGACACTACGGGGCAATTTAACGTGGCCAATCCACCTAAGCTACACATCTTTGGACTGTGAGAGGAAACCAGAGCAGCTGGAGGAAACCCGCTCAGACACTGGGAGAATGTGAAAATGCCACGTGGACAGTCCCCCGAGGGTGGAATCAAATCTGGGTGCTGTGAGGCAGTGGTGCTAACCACTGAGCCACCCCGGAGTCATTTGCACTGAACATTATCAACCCTCCTACTCTGTTCTGTTCTTTATATTCTGTGTTCAGCACTGCAGAGATGTCCATATATTTCTCCTGTTTTTGTGCGGTAAAATTTACAGATGTATCCCTTTTTATTTATGTATAGAGTAACCCCCACCCTCTTGTCTGGGCTAAACTTAAAGGCTTTCCCTTTTGGCCTGCAAAAGCACTGCGGGATAAGGATGGACAAGTTGATGCACGCTTCTTCGGGCAGCATGACAGGTGAGAATTGATCTGTTCTCTGGTAAGTTGTTCTTGACAAGATTCCTGTATGCCAGTCTACATAGGAAACCGATTAATTTGGTACCCTTAGCACATTCCCATTTCTTAAAAACATTTACAATATTGCATTTTGATTCTGTGTGATGGAAAATTACAGAAGGCAACGCCATGTACATCTTGAAACTTCATCTGAAGCTTCTGATGTGTATTTGTTAGCAATTTGGTCCATAATTTCAGTAAAATGTAACTTTAGGGTTGTGAGCTATTCATGCTATGTCAGTTAACATGTGGCAAAAAAAGCACCAGCACTATAATTTAGTTTCTTTCGAAGCTCAGGCTGTATCCTAGCAGCAATACAGCACTCTGTTAAGGTACCATTAGTTCAGAACTGTCACTGGTGCTGATTAATCATTGGAGCAGTTAAATTTAAGGCACTACACAAGAAACTATTGGCTCAAGTACATTTTTAAAAATTCCTTGTTGTAGCATTTAATGTAGCAATATACTGAGTAGCTGACTATAACAGTGTCAGGATTCGTAAGATAATAGGAGCAGGAGTAGGCCATCTGGCCCATTGAGCCTGCGCTGCCATTCAATAAGATCATGGCTGATCTTTTCGTCTACTCAGCTCCACCATAATCCTTAATTTCCTGACTGTTCAAAAATCTATCTTTGCCTTAAAACTATTCAATGAGGTAATTCCATTTAATGTGTTGTTGTTGGCTGTCGAATCAGAAAATCTGTCGACTGACAACAGTAGCTGAGCGCTATTTTAGTTTGGCATTCTTGTACCAGCAATTTTAAAAACAAGTTCCTGTTTTCCAAAACTATGGAGTTGAGTCATATATAGCAAGAGACTACGCGATTCATTCCTGGTCTGCACTGAAGGATTTTTTTTCTTTATTCATTAATGGGATGAGGGCGTCACTGGCTAGGCAGCATTTATTGCCCATCCCTAATTACCCAGAGGGCAGTTCAGAGTCAGCCACGTTGCTGTGGGTCTGGAGTCACATGTAGGCCAGACCAGGTAAGGATGGCAGTTTCCTTCTCTAAAGGGCATTAGTGAACCAGATGCGTTTTTCTGACAATCGACAATGGATTCATGATCATCATTACATCCTTTAATTCCAGATATTTTATTGAATTCAAATTCCACTATCTGCCACGGCAGGATTCGAACCTGGGTCCCAGAATGTTATCTGGGTCTCTGGATTAACAGTCCAGCGATAATACCACTATGCCATTGCCTCCCCAAATATGATATGATGATGGTAGTATAGTTTGCCTTGATAGTTGTGGAAAAAAGCAGCATTTGTGGGGAGAAATGGTTAACATTTCAATCATTGATCCTTTATCTGCAGTGACACTGTTTCAATGAAGGGTTTTCATTGACTTGAAATGCTAGCTCTGTTTTTCTCCACAGATTCTCCATGACACACTGATTATTTCCAGCCTTTGCTGATCTTGTTTCTGATTTCCACCTTGTGCACTATTTTGCTTTTGTTGCACGTATTGGTTGAGGGCTCCAATTTGGCCAGAACAGTTGGAGGACTCCTCAGCTCTTCATGAAATTGTGCCCCATTGGCCAGAGAGTTCAAATAGGGTCTCTTTTAAACTTTCTCACATGTAAAGCAGCACTGCCAGTTCATGGTGATGCATTGAAGTGCGAGCCAAGATTTACAAGCTCTCTGAAGTGGGACTTGAACCCATGACCTTCTGATGTGGAACAAGAATTGTAATGAGCTAAGGATAACAATTTTGTCCAGGACATCAGTTCCCTCTAATTTCCTAAATGAAAGATAGTCTTATTTCAGTATCTCAAATGAGGAATGGTTTTCTTGACAGATTCATCCTGCTGCTTGTATTGTTGCCTGGTATTGTTGCAACCTTTCCAGCAGTAACCAGAATTTATAACTTTTTATTCTATTTTTAATCACAACAGCAATGCGTTAATGTAGCACTTTTTGTTTTGGAATAAAATATCCCAGGGATTATCAAATGAAATTTGACACCAAGCTAAAGATATTTTTGAGCAGTTTAGCCAATATACAGGCTGTAAACAATGCATTAAAAGGGGAAATGCATGGGAGAAGAGGAGAAAAATTTAGCAAGTCAGTTCCAGAACGTGGAACTGAGGAAACTGAAGACAAAGCCACCAATGGTAGTGTAGAAAATTGGATGTGTGGAAGAGACCAGGTTTGAAAGAGTGCAGCTCTGTGGGTTCTGAGCTTGGGATGATTACGACAATAGAGAGGGGCAAAGGCATGGAAGGATTTGAAAACTAGGATAAGGATTTTAAGATTGAGGTGTGACAGTACTGAGAGTCATTATAGGTCAGCAAGTGCAAGAATGAATGTGACTTCATGTGAGAGGGCAGAAAACGATACTGTTGCTCCTGGGATTTTCTCTTGTACTTAAGCAGTTGAATAAAGACAAGGTAGCTATCTATGAGGTCAACTGTGTGTTCTCATAATATTTTTGTTGTTGGAATGTGGAGTTGATAAGATAACCAGAATTAGAAAAGGATATATATTAGTCCTTGAAACAAGACAAATTATCTTGATTTCAAATTTTACAAATACATTTTCTCTTCTAAATGCAGGGCCTGGGTTCCAATAAACAATTGCTACCTCATGTCAAAGGAAATTCCCTTTTCTGTGAAAAAGACTAAAAGCATCTTCAACAGTGCAATGCAAGAAATGGAGGTTTATGTGGAAAACATTCGCAAAAAGTTTGGGGTATTCAATTATGCACCTTTCCGGTCGCCATATACTCCCAACAACCAATTTCAGATGTTAAAAGATCCCCAGAATCCAGCAGCCGGAACTGCTAAACCTGATAAATATGAAAAAATGAAATTAAACTTTGATATGACTGCATCACCGAAGATAGTTCTCAGCAAGTCCATGTTGATCAGTGGTCCCAATAGGAGAATTTCACTAACGGATATGCCCCGCTCACCCATGAGTACAAACTCTTCAGTACATACTGGTTCTGATCTAGAAACTGAACCTGCTGAAAAGAGTATGAAAGCAGCTTCCAGTCACTTCAGTGCAAGTGAAGAGTCCATGGATTTCATCGACAGAAATACAGGTACGATCCCCCAAGGTAAGAACTTGGGTGAGTAGCTGATGGAGCAAAGAGAAATCTGCTTCATTTTCTAGAAACGGGTGAACGTAGTCCATGGGAGGTTTAACCTAAATGGCTCCTAGAGCAGAACTTATACTTGGGTATTATTCCAATAGTGA